TCATTATTGCCATTTTGTAGGGAATAATTGCCTTGCTTTTAAACTATTGGTACCAAGAAAGTCTCCTGTCTTAGCCTGTCTGTCCAAGAATAAACTTCTTTAGCAGGTAATCTGCCAGTATGACATATTTCTAATACTAGTCAATTCCCTTATCAACTGTATCCATTTAACATTTCGTCCTCTTACCCACCACTGTGAGATTATCAAACAGGTTTCTGACCAAGGCCAATGGTTATGGGGTCCTTCCTTAGGCAACGATATTTGATCACTTTTTCCCGAAACTCCTTGGTTTTCACACCATAAATAATAGGATTGAGCATTGGTGGTAGAAGGAAGTAGAGGTTGCCAAGAATGGTGTGGACATGGGGTGGAATGCCTCGGCCAAAGCGGTGAGTAAGAAAAGAGAAAAGTGAGGGTGTGTAAGAGATGAGCATGACACATATGTGTGTGGTGCAGGTGTTGACTGCTTTGTGGTGAGCTTCCTTAGAAGACAGCCTCATTATAGCCCGGATGATTAGCACATAAGATGAGCCAATAGCTGAGATGTCCAGTCCAGCAACCAACAGGGCCACAGCTAGACCATACATGCGGTTAATGGTGGTGTCCACACACACCATCTTTACTACAGCCATGTGCTCACAGTAGGTGGTGGGGATGACATGATTGACTTGAAAGGGCATCTTCTGGAGAAGAATAGGCATAGGGAGAATGAAGAAGATAGCTCTTAGCAAACTCACGAGGCCAATAAGCCCAATGCGACTGTTGGAAAGGATGGTAGCATAGCGCAGGGGCTCACAGATGGCCACATAGCGATCAAAGGCCATGGTCATCAGGACAGCAGACTGCATGGCAGAGATGGAGTGGATGAAGAACAGCTGAACAAGGCAGCCTTCATAGCTGATCTCACTCTGGCCAAACCAGAAGATGCACAACACCTTGGGAATGGTAGTTGTGGACATGCCCAAGTCGGTGAGGGCCAACATGCAGAGGAGCAAGAACATGGGCTTGTGCAGGGAAAGCTCTGTGGAGATGATGAAGAGGATAGTACAATTCCCAAGGATGGTCATGAAGTACAAAGAGGAGAAGGGAATGGATATCCATTTGTGCTTGTCTTCCATCCCAGGAATGCCTTGGAGAATGAAGAAGGAAGGGTGTCCCTGTGTGACATTACAAACAGTCATGGTGGTACCCTGGTTTTATTGAGAGGAGCAATGTAAAGAAACTACATGAGCTTCAATTTAAAAAAAA